GGGGAGTGGAACGTCTTCCAACTCTCCCAGCCCGTGGTCCTTCAGCAGTGTGCCCACCTAGACCACTTCGGGCACTACAGAATTTCAGAAATGACCTCACACAGGACAGAACATATAACACACAGAACAGAATACACAACACACAGACACTTACCGCGGTCAGTCAGACTTTCCAGATCGGGGGTCCCTCGAGGGTCTTGGGGATCCCGGACGAGACCCCAAATCTGGGCTTGGTGTCTCTTCAAGGTCCCCAGGTCCAAGGTCCTGGGGACAGTCCCAGGAACCCAGAAGCCATGATAGTGTGAGGCCCTGACATAAGCCCCACAGCCCAGTCCCCTCAGCGGCTCTGCATCCACAGGAACCTGTGGGAACTAAAGGGCTATTGAGGGCCCTACCCCAGCCTCGGGGCCCAGTGATGCCCGCATTCCTCAGGGCTCAATGTCCCTCTTTTGTTCACAACCACCCACAGCCCCTTCGCCCTGAGAATGAAAGTAAAACTCCTCAGGGGAACCCTCCTCTCATCCTCTTTGTCGTCTTTAGACACAAACCAGGCCTGGGTGTCCCCACCTCCTGGCTTAGTCCCACCCACGGCCTTACCCAGCGGCACCGCAGCCCGTCTCCCTCCTCCCCCCTCACACCCTGTGCCACCCACGAGGACTCACTGTTCTGGACGCTGCGACCTGGGCTTCGGGACCTGAGTGGCGAGGGCACCCGAGGCTGGAGGGTCCGATGGGGTAAGGCTGAGTGGACTCTGTCAGTGGAGCGGAGTCGGGGAGGCAAGAAGACCCCAATCCCGCGGGTTGAGGATCAACAAGCCTCAGAGACACCCTGCCCAGTGGTGACGCTGCCTCCAACACCTCCTCCTACTCACTACCAGAGCGCTGAAGCTTGTGAGTCCGTGAACCCACAGGAACCTTCAAAATGACAGGCAGAGGAGTACGCAGGAAGTCCCGCCCTAACCGGGTGTGCAGGCACCAAAATGCTCCTAACCAGTCAGACTTGCGCACAGTGCTTTCTGGGTAATGTAGTTTTTCCAATCCCAAAGGAGGGCTAATCCCAGTCAATGACTTTGGTGTGTATTGGTGTTGAGGCACCACATCTGGTGCTGAAGGACGACATGGGACTGGAGGTGTGCTCAACTGGTCCAAACTGACAGATCTCACAGGGGAGGGGGAAGAAGAGCCATGAAATAGATCCACCAAAGAGGGAGAAAAGGGAGACATCTGTAATACTATCAACAATGAAAAATACATATATTTAAAAAATGTTTTTAAATACTATAGCCCAGCTGGTGGATCTCAGTGGTTGAGCACCAACCTATGAACCAGGAGATCATGGTTCTATTCATGGTCAAGCACATATATGGGTTGCAGGCTCAATTCCCAGGGAGAAGGGAGGTACAGGAAGCAGCCTTTTAGTGATTTTCTCTCATCATTTATGTTTCTATATCTCTCTCCCTGATATCAATAAAATATATTTTTGAATGTACATTTTAAAATCAATTATACTTAAAACAAAATTTTAAATAAGGTTTAAAACTTGCCCCTTCCAAATTGTTTTACTAGTTTATAATGAATGTTCTTGAGTATATTTGTTTCTACTCTATCCGTGTGTTGGAAATAAAGCATCATGATATACTACTGTAGTATCTTATCATGCCCATATTCAGTGCCTTAAAGTTGGCACTTTGAAGCTGACAATGAGAGTATTTACACCAGGGAAATTGACAAATACCTTGACTTCACTTATTGTATTATTGAATGCTTAAACTTAGAAAAGAATGGAGAAGAATGTTAGCAATGCAGATTAACTTAAAAGTGTATCTTACAAGTGGGATTTAATGGCCTTTAGGATTAAATTTATGGAAGAACATGCCCAGCCAGTGTGGCTCAGCTGTTGAACATCAAACCAGGAACCAAGTGGTCGTTGGTTCTAAACCCAGTCAGGGCACATGCCTGGGTTGTGAGCTCGATCTGCAGTGTGTGTTGTGCTGGAGGCAGCCAATGGGTCATGTTTCTCTTGCTCTTTGATGTTTCTATCTCTTTATTAATCTTCCTTCCTCTCTCTAAAAGCAATAAAAACAGATTTGAAGATAAATAAATAGGGAGCCACTGTGGAAGCTTGCAGCTCTGTGGTGCAGCTAGGCCACAGTGATGACCCTGCCGCCAGGAGGCACTCAGTGGCTTGTCTTTGTCCTGCTCTTCCCTCTGCTCACTGACAGCGCAGCCTCACTCATCTGGGATCTCAGGGAGCCCCACAGCCAGGCTGGCAACATCCACATGCACCCGTGGAGCTACCTCTGAACTACGGGTCACTTCATGGGCAAGAAGAGTCTGGAGGCCCCTGGCTCATCCCTGCTAGAGACAGCTCCCCACATCTCTCTGGGGGACCAGAGACTGCAGATGAGTCATGATCTGCTCAGGATTTTCCTGCTGAAGCAGCTCTGGGCATGAGCTCCAGCAGCCCAGCACCTCACACCCAGTATAGGAGGCCGCTGGTGTAAATGCTGAAGAAACGGTGTCATTAATGAGGAAGACATAACTATGTGGCTTAGAATGTGTACACCCTGGGAAGGTGCTGAAAGGGACCCAGCAGTGGCCCCATCTGGATGTAAATTATGGGCTCAAATCTCTGTTACTGCACTAGTATGATATCTGTTAGGGTCACCATGAATATCGTCAGTGCATACACCAATTATGTCTCTGCTGTAGTTTTTGCTTCCCTGTTGAAGTGAATAAAACCCTGCTCTTTACAAAATAAATAAATGAATGAATAAATTAATTAATTAATGTGTGGAAAACAATTTTGCTTCCAATATTCAAAACCTATGATTGCATATGGCAAAGAATTCATGGAATCACTGAGGAATGAGTGAAATTCAAACATACATGTTAGATGCTACACAGGACCCCTTTACCTGAAAATAATAAATTTATTTAAACAATTAGAAAAGATTTTAAGCTGACATTTTAACAAAAGAGATATAGACAGTGTAAATAAACCCATGAGAAAACACTCACTATAAAAATTTCTTATCTAAATGTAATTAAAAGGAAAGTGAGTTAACACTATTCATTTCCGGGGCTACTATTTGAAAAGGTTAACCACTGCATGTGCTGGCAGGGTAGCAGAAAAACTAGAATTTTTATATACTGTGGGTTAGTGGGAAGGCAAAGAGAATAACTCTGCTGGGTCAGTTCCGCATATCTTAAATGTAAAACATTCACCTACATGAAAACAGTTTGAGAAGTAAAACAAACATTTATATAGAGAACTAAAGGAAATATTCTCAGCGGATTTATTTATAATACCACAAACCTGGAAATAACCAAAACCATAGACAGACCAATAGATAAAGTGGTACCCATAGAACACAGTTCTTCTCAGCAATAAAATAAAAAACTTTAACTATCCACATGAACATTATTGTTGAATCACAAACTGTGTAGCATGGAGGAAACCAGTGTTTGTTAAAGACTACACACCTTCTAGTGCTTATAAAATTATGAAAATTGCCCTAACCAGTTTGGCTCAGTGGGTAGAGCGTCAGCCTGTGGATTAAAGGATCCCAGGTTCGATTCCTGTCAAGGGCATGTACCTTGGTTGTAGACACATCCCCAGTAAGGGGTGTGCAGAAAGCAGCGGATCGATGTTTCTCTCTCATCGATGTGTCTAACTCTCTATCCCTATCCCTTCCTCTCTGTAGAAAAATCAATAAAATAAAATAAAAATTATGAAAATTACGAACTATTCTATTATAAAGGGAGGAAAATGCATGACTGCATGGAGAGCTAAGAAAGGCAGCAAGCAAGATTATAAAAGGGCAGTAAGAATATACAGGATGTGGCAAGAGTAGGGGTAGAGTTGTTGGTATGGAAATTAATACAATAATTAATAAGTAATACAGCAATATTCTTCCCTGCCAGTGAGCCTCAGTTGGTTGGGCACCATCCCTTGCCCTGAAAAGCCTGGGGTTCCATTCCTGCCTGGAAGACCTGTAGGTGGCGTGAGGGAGGCAGCAGTTAGCTGTATCTTTTTCATATCGCCATTTCTTTCTTTCAAAAAAAAATATATTTTATTGCTTTTTTACAGAGAGAAAGGGAGAGGTACAGAGTTAGAAACATTGATAAAAGGAAAAAATGGATCAGCTGCCTCCTGCACACTCCCTACTGGGGATGTGCCCGCAACCAAGGTACATGCCCTTGACCGGAATCGAACCAGGGACCCTTGAGTCCGCAGGCCGATGCTCTATCCACTGAGCCAAACCGGTTAGGTCCCTATCGCCATTTCTCATTCTCTGTCACCCTCCCTTCAAAAAAAGTCAATAAGTTATTTTAAAGATATATAAAATACTTATTTTGTCCTAACCCAGCGGTTCTCAACCTGTGAGTCGCGACCCCTTTGGCGGTCGAACGACTCTTTCACAGGGGTCGTCTAAGACCATCCTGCATATCAGATATTTACATTACGATTCATAACAGTAACAACATTATAGTTATGAAGTAGCAACGAAAATAATTTTAGGGTTGGATCACAACATGAGGAACTGTATTTAAAGGGTCAGAAGGTTGAGAACCACTGCACCTCTATGGGGGTAAGAGATAAGTTTATTTCACAAGTGATGGTTTTACATCTTGATCCATATGTCCAAGCTCACCAAATAGTACACATGAGAAAAGCACATTTTGTTACATTTCAGTTATAAAGGTACCTAAATAAAGTCTTTAAAGTACTTTCAAATAAAGACCTAGATATTCCTATCTTGTTAGAAAATTAAAATGGCAATCCTATATGGGCTCTACCATCTCTTTCCTAATTTCCTGAGGACTGGCCATGTCTCAGTGGCAGCAAATATTGTCAAGCAGTGAAGACTACTGCCATCGGAATCAAAAGGAATCACAAAAGACACATCCTGGGACTGATTACAGGCTTATCCTTCCTCTAGCTTTGAGGTGTTGCCTGCTGAGCAAACCCTGAGGTGAACACCCTAGATGGGCGAAGGGAATCCAAAAAACTATCACATTATTTTTTCTGCCACTTATTTCAGCCACAGGAGACAGTGATGAAGGTCTTGAGAATGTCTGTACACAAAGATCACACAAGCCACAACCCACTGACCATTTGGGGATAACGTTGAGAAGAGGCACTTTTCATCTAATTTACTCCAGTGTTTCCCACTCACTATGAACACAGTGTTCCTGTCTAATTGTGGTTCAATCTAAATCTCAGTGTCTTACAACAAATGACACCAGTCTATGAAATTTTGTACATTATGGCACATGGCTCCTCTACTGTAGATGGGTAAGAATCCCCCAAAACACTGCTGAGAATTATGTAATAAATGCTGAGAACAGAGAAAGTGACTAAGCACAACAAAGGCCTCCTTTTCTGGGTGACCATGACATCACCAATAATAGAGGCACCAGGCTTCAAATTAGAACCACAAAGTCATGCACACTTTCTCTCAGTGCCTTGGTCAGCAACACAAAAGAAGCCAATATTGGACAAAGAGTGTTGTTCTGAAATCATGCTGTGCCTTCCATAGCACAAGTCTGGGACTCCACCGTATCTGTTCACCTCTCCATGCTGACAGAGGACTATTTTTTTTTTTTCAATCATTCCGGGGAATTAAAAGAATCAAAACAATTAAAGGTAGAAAAGAAAAAAACCCTTTACAAAAAGATCATAAACCAGAGCAGAGGACAGCAAGAGGTTTGCAGGATGGTGAATAGGAACCTGAAACAATTCATCACAGCATAAAGTGAGAACCACAATGTCCCTGGAAGAGGCAGCACTTCTTAGTTAAGATTGGGGGCTCTGGACAAAACCTGGGTCAGGTCAATTTTCTAGTCAGAGAGTAAGGAATGAAGATATAGCTAAGAGCTGAAAGTATTCATAAATTTCTCAAGCACAAGGGACAACACAGAATTCCTCTTCACTGAGCACACAGGGGTGGTGACTGATGCACACTGTTCAGGTGAGCCAGGTGGTGAGATTATTTCATCCACAAATACTCGCAGTGACATCAATGAGGTACGAGTTCACAGAAGTTAGCAAGTGCAATGCAGCTCCTTCAAGCCTCACTTGTACCTCAAACTTATGAGGAATTTCGCACGGTGTACGTTCAGATAAAAGCGGTTTATACTCAGGTAAATGGATTTAACTCTCCTGCAGTGTTGTAGAGAAAGATAAAACGTGCCCTCCACATTTAAGCCTTTTCTCCAATGTGAACTCTCAGATGTCTAACAAGGCTAAGTTTGCTGTTAAAACATTTCCTACATTTACTACACTCATGAGGCCTTTCTTCAGTGTGACTTCATTCTCTAAAGAACTTCCCACAATCACTACACTCCTACGGCTTTTCTCCAGTATGAACTATGTGGTGTTGAATAAGGTTAGACTTTCGTCTAAAGAACTTCCCACAATCACTACACTCATATGTGTTTTCTCCAGTATGAACTCTGTGGTGTGAAATGAGGTAGGATCTTTGTCCAAAGGACTACCCACAATCAGTATACTCATAGGGCTTTTCTCTATTATGAGTTCTGTGGTGGTCCATGAGCGTAGGTCTATGTCTAAAGGACTTTCCACAATAACTGCACTCAAAAGGCTTTTCTCCAGTATGAACTCTGTGGTGTCGAGTAAGGGTAGACTTCAGTCTAAAGAACTTCCCACAATCACTACATTCAAAAGGTTTTTCACCAGTGTGAATTCTCTTGTGTTCAGAGAGGTCACTGCTTGTCCTGAAAGACTTACCACAATCAGTACACTCATAGGGTTTTTCTCCAGTGTGAATTCTCTTGTGGTTAACGAGCGTATTGTTGCTCCTAAAAGATTTCCCACAATCAATACACTCATAGGGCTTTTCTCCTGTGTGAATTCTCTTGTGGTTAAGCAGCTTACTATTTCTCCTAAAAGATTTCCCACAATCAGTACACTCATAGGGTTTTTCTCCAGTGTGAACACGGTGGTGCTCAGTGAGCTGAGAGCTTTGCCTAAAGGACTTTCTGCAATCACTACACTCATAGGGTTTTTCTCCAGTGTGAACTCTGTGGTGTGAAATGAGGTCGGACCTTTGTCCAAAGGACTTCCCACAATCAGTACACTCATAGGGCTTTTCCCTAGTGTGGATTCTTCCATGTCGAACGAGGTGAAAGATTCGTTTAAAAACTTTCCCACATTTGTCACACTCATATTTCACTTCTCCAGAGCAGGCACCCTGATGCTGAACAACTTTCTGGTTTTGGCTGCCAAATTTCTCACAGTTGCAAGTCTGCTGAAAACTTTTTCCACCAAGATACTCCTGTGAAATCTCACTTCCACTGTGTGGCTTTTCAGTGTTTAGAGGGGCTTGGTGCTGGGGAAGCCCTGAGGTGACTGGGAAGACTTTCCCAACCTCCCTATTAGTTGAAGGCACCCAAGATAAATAGAAGCTGCACCTGGTCACAAAGGAGGCCCTGTCCATGTCTTCTTTCCAGATCTTCTCTACACTGGAATCCCTCTGTTGCTGGTGAGGGTTTGCACTGAAACAGAAGTCTCTCACACAAGCATCACTGAAGAAGGCTTTCTGCTCAAAGTCTGCTGCTTGGGACTCAGTCAGGTGCAGAATGTCTTTGAACAATGAGAAACACCGCTTACACAGATGGGTCCTCTGGGTTGCTGGAGCTGTCTTAGAAGCTCTGACCTGTGACTCTCCTTGTATAGATACGAAAGGTACCGGACCGACCTCCTCATCATCCATTTTATGCCAACAATCTGAAACGAGAGAATTGAGGAGGAACTGAATGTTGACTGTGGTGACAGGGGAAATCCCATTGCTAAAGTGTTTTGCACATAATACATCGATTCTATGCAATTGTCTGAAAATAAGAGATATGCAGGAAGGATATAAGAAGCTTCTGGGAAGGTCTGGGCCTCTGAAGGTCAAATATCAGTGAAGGCCTCACCAGAAACTTGGCACACACATGGCAAGACCACGTGGAAGAGAAGATACATCCCAAGCTCATTCTTCTGCTCAGCAGGGCTGGTCTGCTGATGACAGGGGCAAGCTGTGCAGAAGGTTGGTTATGTCTTATTCCAAGTGAAATTTAATAAAAGACTAGTAGGTGTTCGAGGACTACGTAAGCAGGTAGGGGCATCTCATAACACATGTGCAGGTCAATGTAGGAGAATATGGCACAGGGAGCAGTGCAGAGGGACAGGTGATGCAAAAAAATGACAAAGGTGACAGTAACAACACCAGGAAGTCACAGATGAAATGCAAGTCAGGAAAGTGTCAACTATGGGGAGAGAAGACAGAAATGGGGTGTAGCCAATGGCACCTGCCCCTAAACACTGTTGAAAATTAGCTGGTTCCTGCCCTAGCTGGTTTTGCTCAGGAGATAGAGTTTCGGCCTGTGCACTGAAAGTTCCCAGGTTCGATTCTGGTCAAGGCACATGCCCGGGTTGTGGGCTCAATCCCCAGTGGGGGACTTGCAGGAGGCAGCCGATCCACGATCCTCTCTCATCATGGATGTTTCCATCTCTCTCTCTCTCTCTTCCTTCCACTCTGAAATCAATAAAAATGTATTTAAAAAGTAAAAAATAAAAATATAAATTAGCTGGTTCCTGGTATCATCTGACCATCACCAGTATGTCATACCTTCCCCCCAGTTGTCATTTAGCATGGCCAGATCTCCTCTGAGACCATCTTGCATGTTCACCCTGTGAGGAAACCAGATTTTCCCTGAATCTTCTACTCTACTGATGCATAAACCCTAAAAATTCCACATATTAATGAAAGACAATGGAGGAGAGCAGCCAGCTCTGTCCCAGAGCAATTAGGCCCACAATAGTACTCAGCTAAGGTAATATTACAAACAACAATTGAAGAAGGGTCTAACAAGCATAGCCTATGGTTTATGTAAGTGAAGAACATAACTTGGCACAGGCTGTCATAAAGCACCTTTCCCTAGAGCAGTGGTCGGCAAACTGCGGTTTGCGAGCCACATGTGTCTCCCGAGCCTCGATTTACCGACCACTGCCCTAGAGAAAGGGGGAAGAAGGGAATGAATGTGGGTATTGTCACCCTCCCAGGGAGAGGAAGAGTAATAGGGGACCCATTAAGCTGCCTGTAATACTCCCGATTCCCAGACACTTTCTGCACTTTTTGAGGCAATGTGTGTCACGGATGTTCCTAGAGTCCATTGGTCAGGGCTGTCCACACAGCTCAGCACCAGCAGCCACAGCACATTTGACAAGACAGGGGCAGAAATTAGCAGAACGCTAGGTCTGGCTGTGGGAGAGAGAAAGCTATGTTTTTAGAATAAAGGAAGAAAGAGCATCACCTCAGGACACTGGGACAATGTGAAGCTCTTACCTGCACATGAGACAAGTGCAAACACTTCCAGCATCACATCGCAGTACAGAAGTCTCTGAGCCTCATCAAGGAGACCCCACTCCTCCTGAGAGAAGGCTATGGCCACGTCCTCAAAGTCCATATCCTGTCATAATAGGGAGAGTTCAGTCCATGATCAGCTTCTCTCCTAGGCTTTACTTTCGTCATACTTCTCACTCTCCATATCCATCTACTCCCTCTACTCCCACATCACAGAAAATAGCAGGTCTTGCATTCAACAGAGTCACTCGCTTCTTATATTCCTACTGATACTGTGTCATCCCAGAGCAATAGAGCAGATACCCAGATTGATTATACCTGACCTCAGGGCATCACATTTAGGGTCAATGCAATGGGTGTCACCAACATAGGGTACAGATAAATGTTGGCCTTAAAGCAAGATGTGAGTGATTTGACTCTGGTCTTGTGGGGCAATATCCTTGTTGTCTAACAGATTCTCCTTCCAAGACCCCGAAAAACAAGCATCACTCGTCAACCTTTCTACTCCAGTCCTAGGGTGTTGAGGCCAACACTTTGTGCTACCTGTTCCACATAATTCTTCCTATCCCACTTCTCTCATGCAGCTTCATTCCCAGAGTCACAACTTCAAAGAAAACACATATATGCCATGAAGAGGAGGGGATGTTTTCTAACCACCTTCTTTTCAACATTCTAACTCACCTCCTCTGTAATGTATTCCTCTCTTACCCTTCTCCCTTCCCCATGTCAGTAGAGATATTCAAACCCAGGTGACACTGATGTATGCTATCCCATTCCTATTGATCAGAGTATCAGCCCAACAACAACAGGCAGATGTGCACCTATGACACCTAAATACTGGACCTGGCATGTAGCGCCACAACACCTGTCTTTTCAGGAGTTACCCTAAAATTGCCCATGTTGTGTCATCCAGTTATCACCAGAAGTGGACTCAACCTTCATTCCCTCTATGTCAATATAAGGGATCCGTGGCCATCAATTCACATTTGCTCTCCAAAAGCACATCACTCCTTCTCCCACACCTCTCTCACACCTGCACTCCCATAGCCCCAGCTCCCATAGTCATCTCCTTGGTCTTAGTCATTACTCAGCATGTGTGTTCCAGAGTTGCATGGCAAGTTCAAACAGTATCATGTACTAACCTGACTCTGAATGCCCACACCCAAGACACAGCCTTCAGTTAAGGTATTAGGCCTCCCTCCCAACTTGTTTTTTCCTTCAACCTCACCTATTGAGAACCACATCAGATCTCAGTTATCCAGAGCCCAATTCTACTGGTACTGCACTTGATGTCCTTTCTCCACTCACAGCCTTCAGTATTCAAGTCCCACTGCCTATGGTCCTCTACCCCATGCCCAGTGATTCTCACCGATGCCCACTCATGCCCATCAGCAAATCAACCAAACTGGATGCAATAAACCAGGCCACACAAAGGGTCACAAGAAATCCTGATGAGTGTTTAAGAAGTAAATATGCACCAGCCACAGTCTCACCTTTTTTGAATTACTCTTCCACCTCCAACAAAAAAAAAAGAAAAAAAAAAGGTGATCTACAAATCCTCCCTGGTCCATACTCTTTTACTATTTTTTTAAGTAGTCTTCATCTTGAACTACTACTCAGAGTTCCAGATGGTCATGAACTGGTCTCTGAAAATTCTCATATCCTAATAAGAAAAAATAAAAGATTTTATATTTCTCATGAACATTACGTTTCCCACTATGACTTTCTCCATCTCAGTTGATGGTGCTTTCATACCTTCAGGTGCTAAATCCAAACCTTTACATCATCTCTGATTCTTACCTCTCTCTCCAATCCGCAAAATTAGAAAATCTTTGTGACCACACCTAAATCACTGAACCAAAATGCAACTGCTTCTTCCACATCCAAAACCACCATTGTGCTCCAGTTACCCTCACGCTCACCAACACTATCACAGCAGCTTCCATCCTCGGCTTCCTACCGTCCTCACACCCATACTGTGCAGCATGCTGCAGTCACAGGGAGTCTAATGAAACCTGGGTCAGATCACCTGTTCTACTGCTCCAATTACCCCAATGACCCCATCACCAGCAGAACAGAAACCCAAGTGGTCACAAAGCTCCTCTGGACTTGATTCCAGTCCTACTGATTCCAGTTCCTCTTTTTAAAAAATGGGCCCCTGCTCGTCCCTGAATCAGCTTAGTCTTCACTTCAAGCCTTTGCATATCCTGGAACCCATGCATGGAAGGACCTGTCACACACAATTCCACTGGCTGCCAAAATCAGGTGCCACTCATATGACCCTTGACCTGGACTTAGGGTTCTGGGCTCGGTGTCTCTTCAAGGTCCCCAAGTCCAAGGTCCCCCGAGAAGAGGGGCTGGACAGCCCCAGGACCCCACTGTCTCAGAGGCCACGATAGTGTGAGGCCCTGACATAGCCCCACAGCCCAGTCCCCTCAGCGGCTCTCACCTGCAGGCCGAGGGCCTGGCACCCACCCCAGGACCCAGGGGCTCAGGCCCGAGGTCCAGCGCCTCGGAGATGCCGCCTCCCTCAGAGCTGGTCCTCAGGGCGCCTCCTGCTGGGTCGCTGTGTTCACAGCCCCTCCTCCCGCCCTCACTGCCGCCCTCTCTCCTGGAGGCCGCTCCTCCTCTGGGCGTTTGGGGAACGTTTAGACCCGCATTTCAGCCTCATCCCTCTGCTGTTCACAACCACCCGCAGCCCCGTGGCCCTGAGCATGAAAGTAAAACTTCTCCCGGGAACCGGCTCTCACCCTCTTTGTCGCCTTTAGACACAAACCAGGACTGGATGTCCCCACCTCCCGGCTCAGTCCCCCCACGGCCTCCCCTGGCTGTCCTGCAGCCCGTCGCCCTCCTGCCCCCTCTCACCCCGGGTCCCCCATGAGGACTCACTGTGCTGGACGCTGCGCCCTGGGCTGCGGGACCTGAGCGGCGCCGGGAACAGAGGCTGGAGGGTTCAATGGGGTGACGCTGAGTGGACTCTGTCGAGGAGGCACTGTCGCCCCAATATCGTAGGTTGCGGCTCAACAGGCTCAGACACACCCTGCACAGCGGGGCGCTGCCTCCCTCGTCTCCTCCTTGTCCCGATGAGCGCGCTGAAACCCGGGAGCCGGTGAATAACCGGCGAAGAAGTAAAAATGTCCGCCGGGAAGAAGACTGCGGAAGTTCCGCCCTAACCGGATGCGCTGGCACCAAAATGCCCGGCGTGTTCGCATTGCTTTCTGGGTAATGTAGTTTTGTCAACCGCCCAGGAGCGGACTAGCTTTCCAGCCTAGGATCCTGAAGAACAAGGTGTTGTAGAGCTGCCAGGGGCGCTGGGGAAGGAGAAGATGGGACCAGAGGCCTGGTTCACTGGGACAGACTGACAGACCTCCCAGGGTGAGGGGTTGGGAGAAGAATTCCTGATCTGCGCTCTCTAGGTGAGACTCCACAAAATAAAATGAATGTGTTGTTACCTAACAGGAACGGATCAAATTTCTGTAATTAGGTTGATGGGAACAAAATAATTTTAGAAGTGTGGATAGACAATAATAAAACTAAGTGGTTAATTTTCATTTATAATCATATAGAAACTGTGTGTTGAACAAAAGCTGGCCCGAATAGCCATTTATTTCCAGGAGCCACATCAGTGTAGCGACTGTGGAACTGAGAGGCCTAGACTCAGCTCTCAAACCCAGTACAGACTCTCAGACCCACCCCTTTCTTGTTAAGAAATTGGGCTCAGCCAAGTTGCACACCTGTCACCAGGTGCACTCCTCTCACCAGGCGAGGGTGTACCATCAGACACTCTCACACCACGTGTACAACAGATGGGGGCAGTTTTAGGTTTATGTTGTGTACTTCTCTGATTTTCCGCTACTGGGTTGGTGCTGCTGCCAATACAGTGACCTGCTGATAGCTAAGAGTCACTTGCTTAGCTCAGCGGCTTGAGTGGGCACCACTTAAAACCCTCCAAACAGGCCTGCCTGGCCAGTGCTGATGCCCAAGTTGTGGGCTCCATCCCCAGGGGTGGCCTGTGGGAGGCAGCCAATCCATGATTCTCTCTCATTGATGTTTCTATCTCTCCCTCTTCCTTCTACTCTGAGAGAAAAAAAAAAATGTATGTATGTATATATATATATATATATTAGAAAAAGATAGGCCTCAATGTTGTGTTGCTTTTCTCTAAGGATGCATATAGGTGGGTGTCTGTTGCAAAAAGGGTCTCTGCTGGTGTTTATGGTGTGAGTTGAGCTGCGATGTGGGAATCCCTACGGCCTTTCCAAGACATGTTAAACCTGCTGAGGGGCCACAGAGCTGCCGGGCACCCCATCACTTGCTTTACATCCCTGTGCTGTGCCTCACTTTGCTCAGACTCCAGAGTCCTCAGGTGTCTTCATCACCTAGGCCACTGGGTCAGCATGTCTTTTAGTGGCTATAGGTCTCACAGCTGGGCCCTTTGTTGGAGTCACTTCTGTGCAGCTATGTTTTTGGAAGTGAGCAGTGCATGGGGGCCCTTCATCCTGGGGGAATGAGGGTACATGCATGGGGGCGGGGCCTGCCCAGAGGGTGCCCCAGGACACATCCTCTCCCTCCCCTCTTCCTGTACTAGGAACTTGGACACCTCCCAGAAGTACCTGGAGGAGCTGGTGGGGGAGAACATGGCTCTTGAGGCTTCACAGGTCCAGAGGATGAACCAGCCCGCCCACCTGAGCTGGGAGCTGGAGCAGCTGTGAGAAGGTAGGCAGCAGCCCCTGGCACCAGGGAGCCAGCCTAGCTACGGTTTCTCCCTCACCCAGGGAGCTCAGCCCTGGGCTCTGAATCTCCTGGGTCAGCCCATCCTCACCCAAGTCAATAGGGTTTTATTCAGGGGCCATTTGGAACTGTTCCATTGCCATTCTTTCCACAGAGAACATGAATGGTCTGGCAGCCTGGAAGTCAGGACATAAACCACAAAGTGTTGCCATATTTCTCAGCTCCCGTGTGGACAGTCCCAGGAGCTTCCAGATGACAGCACGCTGGCACTCAGAGGATGCCTTAGATCCGTCCACAGGGGA